GAAGAAAGCCCTAGCAGGAAAATGTACCACACTAACCTTGGTCTCAGAGCTCTTTAACCTTGGTTCTTTCAAAGGCCTGTATCTGACACCTGTGTTCCTAATAATGCTATTATACAGCACGAGTAGAAAGGTCAGAGAAACAGTATTAGGACCTGCCATTAGATATTTCCAAATGAATGTGACTGCTGAATGGCTACTCTTTGTCACAAGGGTCCACTTGATTAAAGTTCTAGACTGCCCTGACATTGAGGGTGGGTGGGAGGTTTCATTTGTACTTTTAACATTAGTTTTTAGAGCCACCTTATGAACTTTGTTAAGTAGAGTCCTGGAACACACCAATTGGGATCCCTAGAGCATCTCTAAGCCCTACTCATAGATTTCTGAACCACTTGTTGATGCTGCCATGACGATTCCACCATATTTGTTAGAGTTGCCTAGTAGAAAGAGTACAACCATCACAGAGGCATTTTTCATGTCATCCCTCCCCATTCCATATCCCCTGGTCACTTCCCTTACTACCGAGGAGTTCAGTAACATCCATGTTCTTCCGTACTACCTTACTCCTATCCCAGTCCCTTCCCTGCACTCCTTTCCTATTACCTGAGCAACTTCACCTTAGTATGGCTTTATGTGGCATTGGCGACCCACTGTTAGAACTTTCACTCTCCATGTGGGAGGTGTGGGGTCTCTGTTCAGTCATTGTATCTCATGCACAGCCAGAACCCATCTTGAGTGTTGCTATGATGTAGAAGTTTGTGTATTGCTGGCACTGAACAGGTTTCGGTGGCGTTTCCAGGCTAAGATGGGCTAGGATGAAAGACTTGGTGTCCAGGCTAAGCAGACTTGTAGCAGGTTAAGCCAGTAAAAGTCCTATGGGTGTCAGTGGTCCAATTCACAATGGATCACCAGGCCGATGCAGCACTGAGCAATTGAACAGTGGACAGTTGAATCATTATAATAAGATAGATTACATATATAGTAGTACAGGTGAGTAGATGTGACAATAAGCGCTCACAGAAGTTCTTTCTGATGGCTTTAATTTTTCTTATTGAAACAGGAACAGGGAGAGTAGGAATACAGGAGGAAGTAGTAAAGATTTGAGGTGGGAAGAGAAAATACACAATAGTCGTCTAGGTGTGAGGTTCAGTGAATGGACCAGAGAAATAGAATCTGATTGCCAGGTAGCATTGGAAGTGTTTTTGAGACAAGTCTGCTGGTTCGTGTCTTTTACTTCACACGTGTCCACTGTACAGGAGGGCACATAAAATAGGCAGAGAATTGGATCTCTCGCCAGGGTGGTGGTGTAGCCAAGTGAATGTGATGCAACAATCCAGGTGCAGGGATTTGAGGGTGTGTTTACATGCGCGGGAATGATTGAGTGCTTGAGCATGAAGTTTAAATAAGAGAAGGGAAGCGAGGGTCTGAAGGGTGTTAGCGACAGTGAAAAGATGGTGTGGTAATACTTTCTTTTATAAGAATTGATACCGGACTAGTCCTAAGGAGTTGGAGATGGAAAAAGTCTCAAAAAATCCACCTCTCCTGGAAAGTAAAAGGAAATGGAGGAAAGAACCAGGAGGCAAAGGACATTTATAGAGACCTAAATACAGGCATGTACATATGTAAATATATTTATATATAATGAGAGGGGACTAGATCTCTGTAATTATATCTATATGTTAAGAATTA